TTTTAGAGTATCTCAATTATTGTTTGCCTTGGAATTTTTGTTAGCTGCCATACATTTTTATTTCCAAATATTTTACCTGTACTCAACTGACTACGGGTGAGAGAAAATGGTATGAAAATGAAGAGGGAAATGTGTCAAGGAAAGTGGAAGGAAATGCCCAAAAATATAAAAAAAAAGCCGTGGAGAGAGACAATAAGTAGACTGAAAATGGCTTTGTCGGTTTATTAAGCATACTTCGTCGGAAATTTTAATGCGAAAATCCGACTTTTCTTTTTTGCTTCCCCCTTTACCCACCATTTAGCCTCAAGCTTTTCACAAAAAAGTGAAAAGTTGACATTTTCGGCGCTTTTCTCTGCCCAATTTTGATACACTTTTTAGGACTTTTTTCCCCCCACACACATACACAAGTATATTTGCATTTTCCCTTTTTATTTTTACTCCCTATACTTATCACATTTTGAAACAATTTTGTTGTTGGCCCTTTTGCGAATATGTTGCAATTTCGGCATCATAAAAATGCAAATGGATCGGCGTGTGTGTGAGCCAGTTTGAGCTGAAAGCCAGAGAAATATTAGGGCCGATTTAAATGGGAAGCTTTGGAAATTTTGCACTTACTACTGCACAGCCCCAAGTACACACATCAATATTTGTATATTCAATGCCGGAACATAAGCCTGGCTTGTGTTTAAATATAAAATAGTTACAATAGTTGGGAACTTTGGAAATGTGTGGAGTGACTTATAGAGTTACGGCTTAGGGACTTGGCTGTTTGTTGTTTTCGTGTCTTCACTTGGAGATGCGGATTACAAAACGTAAGCCAAGGAAATTCTATTTTGAGTTTGAATTACATATTCACCCCTAGAAAATAACGAGCAGTTTCTCTAATTCGATGCAACTGAGCTAGAACGGTTTGGAGTTAATGAATAACTCAATTTTGGCCCATTGTTATTAACTATGCAACATATTACGCATACGCCCTGTTGCACCAGCGACAACAAATCAAACTCACATTGCAAGTTGTCATTTATAATTAATGCTGTGTCCTTCTCCATCCCAACTACTACTGCCATTTGCATGCGAATTGTTGCGAACATCGCCGAGCACATTACGCATACGCCACGTTGAACGCCCAACCAGTTCTTACCGCAGAATGCGTTTCGTTGTCATTTTATTGACAAAACATCCTGAGCAGAGGGCGAAAGTCGATGACGTATATTACGCAAACGCCACATAATTGCTGGCAGAAAATGAACTGAAACGAAAAAGCAGTTGGCAAAGGGACCAACGACCATGCCCACCCCCCACTGGAGTTTTTCAAGGTCGCCGGCGAAAGGCGAAATATTGCTCGACAAGCGGGGCAGATGTCAAGTGAACGAGATTGTGGGCGGCTAACTTTTGCATTTCGCCCCAGAACAACAGTTTGAACAATTTTTGGTATTCCATTTAAATCGGGGGGGGGGGGGGGGGGGGGTGGGTGTGCTGGGTCAACTTGTTGTCCACAACAACAACAGCGGAGACAGACAAAACAATGGGTTTGTCCCGCACATTGTTACGGTTGCGGACATTTTAATTAGACTTTAGTGGCTTTTGTGGTCGCCATTGTTGTCTTGTTGCCAACTATGTACTAAATAAATTTAAATGCCAAACACACTCAGACCCACACGCACACACACGCACACACACACACGACAATTCAAGGGGCACATATGTGCACAGACACTCAAGCTCATACTCCACTTGGCACGCACACACACATACAGGCGCACACGCACACACATTGCGCATAGGATCCAAAGGATCCGAGCGCCGCTCTGCACCACAATAAATTTACTCTTTATATGGTAAGCAGATTTTATTAAAGTAAATGGAAAAATAATATCGCAGGGCTCATAAAAGAGTACGCAGTGTTTTAAGCGCGCAAAAATGGCACAGCTTCATAAATAGTACGTTCAGAAGCGAGTAAAGTGCACGGGATTTTCTTTTGCTTAAAAAATATAATATTTTCAAAACAAATACATAACTAAAGAGAGCTTATATTGGTGCAAAACAGAAGGCCATATTCTCACGTATAATAAAACATAATTTTAATTAATATAATAGTGGGCAAAATTAAATTTCCCCTGGTCTTTATTTATTTAAGCCAACAACGTATAAAACTATTAAAGCCTGTAGATATATGCATGTTAAGCCATTATGGCTGCGATTATTCGACCAATTCTAATCTGAGGGTACCAGCATAAATACCATGCAAAACGTTATCTAATATGCCGTTCGCTTATTTCCATTCCGAAACATGTTTTTCCTGGCTATTCCTGGCAAACCCAAAAGGTTTTGTTGCCAAGTTCTGTTTAAGTATTTTTCTGTAATAATCTCACTTTTGCGGCTTGTGTAAAATACCCTTGGTTGGCTTCAACAGCCCGAAAGTAGGCGATATTTTACGCTTTTAAGGAATGGAGGAAAATGCTCTTTGCTCAGGCGACGACGGGCAACAAATTGCTCAGTTGAATGGACAAATAGATCGTTGGATAATTATGCAAAAAGTTGTGCGCGAAAGACCAGAGGTGCAAAGGAGGACCATTGCAAAAATCAACAGGCCATAATGGGTTAATTAAGGCAGGGTGATGGCAAACTGAAGGGGCCGGGAAAACCCCCCGCTGTGCTGCACTGTTTGAAACCGAATCAACTGTCCGCTCGCTCGTCCGTCTAATAATTAGCCCAAAGTGGATAGAGAAAATGTCCGGAAAAGCAGGAGTTTTAATAGGGGGGGATAAGGGAAAGTGGAAAACGGCAGCACAGGCTTGGGCAAAGCCTGCTGAAATATGCAACACGCTCATTACAAGCCCAATAATTAAACTCCGGAGTGCCACAAAATTCAAATATGCACTGGCGCTGGGTGGGGGGTGGTGGCAAAGATGGTAGTTTCTGGGGTCAGGGGTCAGTTTGTTTACGCGATTTTGTATGACATTCATACACGTACATGCCACTATATGTGCGTGAGTGTTTGCCATGGATTTGCGTTGTTTGCCTCGGATGCTATGTGGAAAAACAACAAGCGTTCCACACAAGCAAAGTCAGCATAGAATGTGCCCCACTCATCCCCCCACCCGCTGGTATCTACCTTACCCCCTCAGTGTGTCCCCCTTTCGGGCCTGCGTGCAAATTAATGCGACATTTATTCATTATGCCATGAAACGGTCGTAGAAGTGGAGGATGGAGGGTGGGGGGAGCAGCAAGGGGCGCACTGGCTTGCTGGTCAGAGGGGTGAAAGGATAACTGGGGAGGGGTGTGGGGAGCATAGGGTGGTGGTCTGGAAGGACAGATGGAGCAGCCAACCACGGGCGATGAGAGGCACTGTGGGCTTGGGTGCGTTGCAAGTAAGAAACCCAACCGCCATTGCTTCACTAATTGCAACATATCGTGGCAGTATTAAATTGTATTATTATACTATATTACATAGATATATTTAGTTTCGAATCAAAAAGATAAACTGCCTTAAGTAGATTTCGCAAATGCATTTCCGCCCACTGTGCAATGACGATAACCTCAATGCGGCGCCCCACTTGAGAGCCTCAGCCTACAAACTCCGTGGTCCGTAGTCCGTAGTCCGTAGTCGGTATTCCGTAGTCCCCAGCCGTAGTTCCCATTCCCCCATCCTCGCGCCCCATCTCGCTCTGCTGTCTGTGCCGTCTCCCTCGCACTACCTATCCACAACGTGTCGCCGCAGAGCGTCGAGGGACATAAAAAGCATTTGCGTGATTTTATTTCGCATTTTCTTTTTTTTTTCATTTCATTTCATTTCATTTTTTTTTTTCATTTTTTTTTCCTTTTTTTTTTCTTTCTGTTTGGCTCAACTTTGCGCTTCTTTCACGGTTTCCCATTGCCGGGGAGTAGGCTCGTCTCCGGAGATTGGCTGAGTGTGTTTCTCGCCGAGCCCGTGTTAATTTAATCACAGTGAAAAGAATTTAATTAGTCGCACAGCCTAGCTACAACAACAACCAGATCAACGTACAATAATGACAATAATAAGGGGCGTGCTGAATAAAATTTCCATAATTCGAGAGGCCTAGAAATGGCCACATCTGGCCTGGTCGAATTATTAACTTGACTGGAATCCGCCGCCAGGTGTGGACAATGGCCAAAAAAATAAGTATCTATATATATGGAGAAGAGAAGAAGCCAGGAAATGAAGCGGAAACGTTTTCCGAAAAGATGCAGTTCGTAGTACACTGCGCAAATACACTTTGGAAGCCAGCAGATTTATAGAACCCAGATGCGACACAAGCGCTTTAGATAACTGAGCTTTAAATCAAACTTAAACAAGTCTTTCAGATTAGAACATCACCAAATAGAAATTTGGGCAAATATTTTTGACTGTGTCTGCGCAAAAAAAGGACATTTTACTGGCAATTTGCGCTGTCTTTTATCGCTCGTTTGGCCCCAACGCACACACTCACTACATAATGCCATTTTTATTTTAATCCTGCATATGTGTCCTTAATCCCCCCACCATTCCAATTCCTTTCTTGAGCTTCCCCAAATGCCAATTCAGTCAATGACAGGGCATAAAGGATCCGCCGCACGAGTGCGGCACCAACACAAAAAAGAAACGTAGGGAATAAAAAGAGACGAATTCTTGTCTATTCAACTATGAGTAAAAACCTATTTTGCCCAGGTCATGCATGCGGATGTACACATAGATATATCTACACATATCTGCATATATATCCGCTGGAAGGGCGACCCAAAGTGGAAGTCAATTCAAGCAGCTTACTTTTATTTAAGCAAAAGGCAAGGAACACACAATCGCTGGTATATATGTACATGGGCACATATACATATTTTTGGAATGTACTTGAGATGCCTTGGCTGCTGACCTTTTCTATGTTATTTTATTGTGGGCACTGTGGCGTCTTTTCTGGCTACCCACCTGAATGACGAGCAGCCGTGGGGCACATTCTCTGCACTCACTCATCTTACCGCCTGCCACATTCTCCTTGCAGATTTCAATTTGCAAGAAGAGGCCTCCATTCCGGAGGACATATTTGACCAGCACGACGGCGACATTGTGGATGAGGACGTCGAGTCGGCCCACATTCAATATGCTCCATCTGCCCCAACTGCCCCATTTGCTGCATCTGCCACCGCCGAGGAGGAGGACGAGGAGGACGTTGATGTGGGGCTGTTGGAGGAGGACGACGATGCATCCGAGGCAGCTGATATTGTGAGTACACACATGGCAATGCACTTGAAAAAATATGCACTGCCACAATTATTTTGTAATCTCATGATGGCGCTTGAATCGAGATTTTGCCAAGAGAACCAAATACTTAATACTTTAAGACCAGAACAGATTTACTGCAGCGGTCCCTGTGCGGCTTGCAATTAACACAAATTTCAGATTGAAATATTTTCAATATATAAGTTTCACTAGGCACCGACTTTTCTCCCCTTTTTTGATGACATTTTTTTAGAGCACATAGCCAAACATAAATACACGCAGATGCTTGGCAGAGTGGCCGAGCCTACAGTCAAGTCCAATCCGAATGAGGTCAGTTCCATTGAGCCAAAAGTGGGGGCGCATTCAGAAAGGGGTGCTCTATAAGGAGTGTGTCCATTGAAATGTCGCACAATGCGAGCGGCCAAGTCAAATTACTTTTTTAAGCCGAAGAAACTGGCCAAAGCCACAAACTTTGGAGGAGCAATGATGGCCCACAGCTTAGCCTGATACTCGATTCCTGCATTGAAATTCACTTGAGCGCAAAATGAGACCAAAGTCGAGAGGACCAACAGTCAGCAGGGCACTTGAAAGCATTTTTGAAACCAAAATAGGGCCAGACAAAAAATTGCCAGCGAGTGCTTTGATTAATACGTTTCACAGCTTAAATTTCGAGCATGGACTAAAATTTGCAGAATTCCATACTCCATTTGCGAGGATATAAAGTATCAGGAGCAATGATGTCAATGGTCTAAGAATAACATTTTATTTAATGAAGACGAACAGCAAGGACCTTCATGCCACAACGGCCTACGGTATAAGAAATGGTATAACAGCTTTTAGCAATTTAAAATGCAGTCAGCATCGTACCAACATTGCATTTACAATTTCCTCGAATGACAGTAGCCCGAAAAATTCAGTTCCTCACTCCTTTAATCAGCGATTTGCAGACACTTGAGTGTTGAGTGTTGAAAGCAGTTTGGGACCCAACATGAAACTTTTATTTTATTGTTTACCTGCACATGTGCACTTTAGCAGGTCCCACTTCAGTTCTTCGCCCAAAATCCTTTTCTATATTTTTGTGCACTGAAGACTTGTTACACTAGAAAGTAAATTATCAAGAGCTTCTCCTTGCTTCTATGTTTTAGAAACTACTTAAGACAATTGCAATCAATGGATTGCCAGGAAACAGATTTTATGCAATATACATTTAACCGATTTTCCGCACTGTGCATTGCAACTACTTGCAGATACTTGAATCTCAAAGGCCCACTTCAAGGAATTTCAGTGTTTACCTGGACGCTAAGAAATACCAAAATAGCAACAGCAAGAAGCATTTCAAGGAGCAAAAGAAGAACAATATAAGCCACCATCAAAACTACAAATTGAAAAACAATAAAGAGTACAATCACCATCGGCTAGCCATGGAAGCTGCCGCCGGAAAATCGGAAATGGAAACGGTCCTTGGTGGCGGGACCAAGTTCACTTCCGGCGACGAGAAGCCACAGCAGGAGGATCAGGAGCAAGTGGAGCAGGAGGAGCAGGAGGAAAGCGCCAACTTTGGCAGGCAAAGTTTTGCGTATAAAAAATTGAAGAGCATGCACGAACAGCCAAGTCAACAGGACAAGAAACGGGGTGATGATGGCGACGAGGCGGATTTACTGGAGGGCGACTATCCGCCGTCCCAGCTGTTTGATGCTATTGAAATATTAAATGAACGAAAATTTAATAAGCCATCTGGCCAATCAACGGACAAGTCCCGATCCCAGCTGCAGAAGAAGCAGAAAGACCAATCCTTGCAGGAGCAGCAGAAGTCCAGGCAGGTGGACGAGGCCATTGGCGATATCGATATCGATAGCGAGGACAATTTGGATAATGATGAAATATTGCCCAACAACAACGGCGAGGACGAAGACGCTGGCGACGACGACGAGGACGAGGACATTAAGTCCCCCATTGACAATGATGAATTGGCCAGAAAGTACCCGGTAGCCACATCAATGACCACCAAGGTCCCAACCACTTTGGCTACATCAAAAACCAGCAGCAGCAGCATCAATAGCATCAGCAGCACCACCACTACCACCACCGCAACTGCAACATCGACCACTGCAACATCGCCAACGACAACAACAACACCTAGAGCCGCAGCAGCAACAATTGGCCGCAAGTTGAAGAGGAATTTCCTTGGTCTAGCACCGCCAGAAACCAGATACTACGGCAGCTATGATATCGGCAGGATTCGTGCCCAGACCCAGGAGGAGGATACCACCGAGGAGGAGAAGGAGAAGGACGAGGACGTGGGCGAGTTGCACTATTATGACACCAGCAGCGGTGGCAACGCCAGAAAGTTGGTCAGTTTTGATCCGGAAAAATCCGAGGAGAATTACTTAGGCAGCTACTATCCCGGCAAACTGAATGCAACCGAGAAGAAACAGCAGCAACATGTTGTTGCACGGCAGCAACATGCAACACGTTACGTGGATGACGACTACGCCGAACAACAACCGCCGGCGGAGAAGACAAAGTTGGAAAATCCCTGGGAGAAATCGGATGGAAAGCCGGAGGATGCGGAGCAGCTAGAGGATGGCAAATTGGAATCTGATTTGGAATCTGCATTGCAGCGATATCACGAGGGTAAGTCGTTTGCACAAAAAACGCTACTAAAATAAAAATAAAATAAAGACAAAATTGAAATGAATGCGACATTGAAAGGCACAGTGTGAAGTGAGTGGGTAAAGGGGAGAATACACTGTATATTATAACAACATTTTTTATTTACAAAAGTATTTATAATTGATCGATTCTACACCATCCAAAATATAGACATTTCCGAAAGGCAAAACATACTGAAAGCTAAACATACTTAAACAGACCCACTGTGCGGCATTCCACTGGCCTTTGATTGGCGAACTAAGCAAAATGCCTGGCTCAGTGGAAACTTTCGGCCCCACAGAAGCATCCGAGTTCGACCCACTGTGCCACATTCCACACCGAGTTCGGTTTCGCCTGGCAGTTTTCGGTACTCGGTTCTCGGTTTTCGGACCCCAGTTGGAGAACCCATCAAAGTCAGGCATGTGAATGTGTGTGTGTGCCGCAAATTGAAAATATGTAAAGGAAATCCCCAAAGCATTCTACATTCTGCAGACGAAGACCCTCAGACAGAGGATATGTGCATACATGTGGGGACATACAACGATAAGTCAAACTGTTGCCAGCAGAATCACTTTAATGCACGACTTAAAGTGCGAAAATCTAAATATACACATTGGCCTAATAAGTTTAGTTAAAGTTGAGCCAAAGCCATAATGTATGCAAATGTTCTTCTTTCAATTTTTCCCCAGAAAAGAAATCAAACGAAAGAAAGTTGAGCTTTCCCCAGGAGGGAAATGCTCACACCTAACGACACAACCCCCCCCCCCCCTGCCCTTTCCTGGCATTAAACAATAAAGCTTACAAAACAACAAATATCCCATACATATACGTGTATGTATAAGAATATATACTATAGACCAAACGGAAGCAACACAATCTGTCCAGAGGATTGGCCAAGAAATGAAGTTCTGCGGAGGCGGCGATGGCAGACGTGCCCCGACTAGAAGAAGGAAATGCTCAAATGCCCGGGTTGATTCGAGAGTTTCAGCATAAATTCGTTGGCTATTTCCTGGGAGTTCTCATGCCTCCCTCGCCGGCACAAATCAAGTTGAAATGAATTTGTGTGCGGTTCCTGGAGGGGCTAGAGGTTGCTGGAACGGCGGTCCTGGGTATTTTGTGTGGTTTGTAAGGATTTCAGGACCAACAGTGAGCTGGGTCAAACGGGGGAGAAGGGCGGGATTAGCAGCAAAAGCCTTGAATGCCCTGGAATACAATATTTACACCCAAAGCATTTAGGAGCTATGTGTTCTGAAGTGCAGTTATGGGTCGCCTCTTCGCGAGTTCAACGGAAAGTTAATCAATTAAAACTGTAATTTGAACCTCAAAGTGATATTACATGTTATCTAATATTCATTCTAACTCGGAGGTTTTTCAATCAGCATTTGATAAGTCAAGTTATTTACTTCTGACGTGCAGTTTTCTTTTTTGAATGCTTGTCAAAATCTCTGTGTATTTCATACTACCCCACTACCCTATACTCGCCTATTTGCAGGGCATTGGATAAAAGAAGCTCTTGTTGTTCGTTGGCCTAATAGAAATCTATTACTTCCGAGCCCTAAAAAGCGTGCCGAGACTAACAAGGACTTTTTCTCATTTTTTTCTTACTTATTTTGCTTTACAGCCACCACGGCCACGCCCCCTGTCACCGCCGACCCCTCGTCGGCATTTGAACGCTTTAAGGCGCTGCGAAGGAGTCGCCAGCGCACTGGACACAAGAGTCACAAGAAGCGGTACAAGGACTATCTGAAGAGGCAGCAACCGAACGCGGAGGCGACATCGCCGCCGGAAACCGCTCCAGCGGCCACCATCTCAACCAGGCACCTGCAAAAGTTGCAGAAGGAGCGGGAGAGATCCACACACTCAGCACCGATCTTTGCGCTCGGATTGCGACCCCAGCGAACCCTGGTGGCCACCGGGAAACCCTTCTACGAGGGTCAGGTGAACTACTACGACAATCAGCAGCAAACGGACGTGGATCTGAAGCATCACACGGAAATGGAGCGTTTGATTGCCCATGACAATGGCAACTGGTATCGGCGCATTAGTCCGGTTTTGCGTAATGGTGTTAAAAGTGATCCGCCGGCGAAGGAGCACCACCACCATCACCATCACAGTGGCCAACATCTGGGCAACCACCACCACCACCACAGTCACAGCCACCATCATAGTTACAATCACAATGGGGCGCACAACCACCATCATCACAGTCACAGCCACCAGAAGCTAAGTCATCCGAAAACACGTCCTCGTAATCCCTATCAGCGGAAGGTTTCTATGGGAATGGCTGACCCCAGTCCACCACCACCGCCCACTCCGCCGCTGCCACCGCCGAAACCGCAACTTGGACACCAAATAACCGAACTGGAGCATCTCGAGAGATACTATGCCAAGTGGCCACATCTAGCCAGGGTGCAGTTTCAGGTCTACGATGAGCACTACCGCGAAACGCATCCCGAACTCTATAGCGACTATGAGGATGACTACGAGAGTGCTGCGGAGCTGGAGGAGGCGCAGCAGGAGCGCGGTGAAGAGGCCAATCTGCCACCCTATATCAAGAAGTATAATCGGCGGAACAAGCAGTTGCTCAATCTCCTGGAGGGCACGCTACCCACACCCACTCTGAGTGCCGGTAATCCTTTGGGCAGCACCGAAACAGTGCGACTGGATGATGAGTATCTGAAGGAGAAGAGGCGACGTTACCACCAGCATCAGCGTTTCGAGGACTTGTTTGCCCAGCAAAAGAGCAGGTATAGTACCACACAAACGACGCCCAAGGAGGAGGTTACCGTGGCCCAGGAGCAGCAATCAAAGGAGAACCCAGTGACTTCCACAACATCGCCCAACAATCAGTTGCCCGAGGAGGATGCACCCGTTGTCTCTGGCGAGGAAAGCGATCCTGCAGCCGAAACTCTGGACTTTTGGCAGCGGGAAATGGCCAGTAAGGCGGGAAAGATGCGAAGCAGTCAGCCCGGAGGTGCAGCCTCCACAACCACACCGAAACCAGCTCTCTTCAAGCTCCCATCATATCCAGCCATCGCCGGCAGCTTTCTGGGCACACCACGCAGTCGCAGCCGGAGTGCCCAGTTCGTGGCGAATGTGGCTGGCAGGGGTCAAAGTAGTTGGCCACGTTTGGAGACGGGTAGTTCCACGGAAAAGCCCGCTGGCGGAGGAACCACCGAAGGCGGCGGAACCGCAACAACCGGAAGAGGGGCAGGTGGAGGTGGAGGAGGAGGAGGAGGAGGAAGAGGAGATCCATCCCCCCTGAACTCCTTTGTTTACCATCGCGTGGTAGATGGCATTGGCGTGGGCGGAGCAAGTGGACCCGCCATTTCCGGCTTCGTCGGCAGCAGTAGAGGCAAACAGTCGCGTCTGCCATTCGTGGCCATCACGGATCGACGGCTGGAGAAATCGCTGGCGGAGCGACACAAAGACTTTGAGCAGAATCACTTTCCGATGCCTTAAGCCGCGAATTTGTGCAGCAATGGAAAAGCTGGGAAAGCCGAAAAAGCTGGAAAAGCTGAAGATTAAGATGAATGGTAAAGGAAAAATTAACGATGAGTTGGTAGCAACGAATGGAAAGGGAAATTATCTGAAAAAATAAAATTAAAAATAATACAAGAACCCTTTAGGCGAAACGCTTTTAAATAAATAATATCAGTAAACAACGCAACTAGTTCTTTTGAATATTTTCGCTTAAATTGAGAATTCAGTGAATTGAAAATGAAAATTGAGTTGAAAACTTCCGACTGATATTATAAAAATAAGATTTTTGTTCCATTTAAACCAAAACAAGAGGTACCTTTCCTAGGAAATCCCTTTCAAATTCCACTATATTTTCAAGCCACTATTAATCGATGCCAGCCAGATTTAAAGGGTTCTTCCCCTTAAATAAAAAATGCGATTGAAAAATGTATATTCCCCTTTTCAGACATGTTGCCAACTCAAAATCTAAACATAATTCTAGAACTATATTATAGTCGCCGCTTTCGGATGTATTATTTTTGGTGTTTTATGTTTTACACGGGAAAGGCAGAATCGAATCAATGGATATATAGAGATAATTGTCGAAAACGATTTTTTTTGTGTGGTGGATACATAAAAAAAATATTGAACGATAAACGTTAGGAAAAGAAAATGATTGAATAAAGTAAAACCAAAAAAAAAAACAAAGAATTGTAAAACTAAAGTTAAGCGAAAACCCTTTTTTTGTGTATAAATAGCGAAAACACTTGTAGACAAACACGTATACATACACAAACACGAGAAAACACACACACATACTCAATGAGCTGTTAGAAATCAAAAAGTGATAACCGACAAAAAAATAATCATTTTCGCCTTAGTTACGGTTGGATTTTATTTAGTTCTAGAAAGCATTGCTTTTCGGTGTAAAGTAGCTGAAAATTAGAAGAAATTGTTAGCAAAGAGCCTCCTCAACAGTGCTGTCATGAGCCAACATGAAATTACTAGGCAATTCAGGACGAAAAGTGGACAAAATTATTGAACATTTATTACGGATTATCATAAGTTTTTTAAAAATTTGTTCAACAATGTGCAACTAAAGTGGATTATGTATTTGGAACGATATATGTATTTCAATTTTGGATTTAAGTTATATTATTGTCCATAAGAAATTACGAAGTCCTGGTCATTTCTGTAGAAACAGAACATGAAATAATTTATGTTTCTTATGAAAAACACAGAATGGCAGCACTGCTCTCCGCACACAAACACAATTAAAGCTTTCCTATCGCCCTTGCACGCGGAATCCATCGAAATAGGTTTCAAAATTTAGCGAGAAACATGAAAGCAAAATAGAGAAAAATTCAATTTGCGCAGAATACAATGACAATGTTGCACAAAACTACAAATAGCTGAAGAAGAAAAAATGTATAACTACATATCAAGGTAAAGAAAAGACAATTATAGATGTTAACATATTTTTTTCGGACCCAAAAAGAACTAATAAATTCCGTAATGCTAAAAGTTTATTAAAATGTTTACAATATGTTAGTTTATTTGAAAAGATACTTTAAATACTTTTGCCTATTTAAAAAAATGTTAAGAAATTAAGTTGATTTCTTTTAAGCATTTATGTAATATTTTCTAGCACTCCTAAGTTGTTAGGTTTTTCAATAATAAAAAAAAAAGAAAATGGAAAAGCTAAAACAGATAAAAAAAAGAAATAAAATTGCAAAAGGCAGAAGATAAAAACTCTGAAAGAATATCCCTAAAAAGAAGTCGAAAAGTTAAGAAATTAAATATACTTTGTGTAGGAAAATTAAAGAAAGCAGCTAACAAAAATGCATTTCCACAGCTTCAGCCGAATTACGAGTTTATACACACGCACACGGAAATGAAAATTTCATAAGCAAGACGGATGAAGGAGCGGGCAAAAGAAAGTCGTGGAGAAAGCGGGGAAGAGAGTGCAATGCGGTGTAATTAACATATCAAAAGCGAAACGTGGAGAGGTAAAAAATCGCAAAAGCGCCAAGCAATTAAAACTAAGCGCAGTGGCAAAATTATTCTCAAACTGTATTCGTAAAAGTAATTTTGTCTGATAAGAACAATCTTTCTGGCTCAACTTTAAACTTTCAACTTTAAACAATTTGGGTTTACGCGAAAGCGAATCAACGATTTCGATTTTCCGGATTCGCAGAATCGTACGCTGTTTGTTTGTTGTTGTACAATTTAATTGGAATTTGAGTTTATATACAAAAAAAAAAAAAAAAAAAAATACCAGAAAATGGGAAGCAGAGCGTATAAGCCTTCAAAGGTGGTATCAGCTTATCAAAAAAAAAAAAAAAAAAAAAAAAAAATACACAACACAGAGAACACACCAAAATATACTTGTATACACATCTCATTATGTGGTAACATTTTAATGGAATGAAATTCAATAAAGCAACAATTTATTATTTACGCATAATCACGCCTCGCATTTTGTTCTTGGCATGGGAAACTCGCAGGCCGCCATTTAAATGCAAATAAAAAATTCAGCAATTAACGCCACTTTCCCCAGCAATTGTTTTCAAAATAAGTTGTCAAAGTGTCTAACAGTGTGCCTTAGCAAATCAAACGCCGCCTTTTGAACTATAGAACTTATCAGTAGCGCTTAATCTAGTTATTAAAAGGTCACATTTTCCATTAAGATGCAATTTACAGATTGGTCCTCAAGAAATTATCACTTCAACCATATCAGGCTTCATTTGCATACGAACATTTGTCCCCAGCATAGTGAAATATGCGTATATATCAAACATATATGTATGTCCATTAAAATCCCTGTTCTGCCGATCGGAGCGAGACGGATATATAAGGGGGTGTAAGGGAATGTAAGGGGGACAGGCGACTGCTCGTTTATCAATCGCAACGGGCGTGCATTTAATTACTTAAACGCTTATCGAATAACGACCACGCACAAATCACCGGCAAGCAGGAGCATAAAGCCCCTGACGAGAAAGAGACGGGCATGGCCGATAAGAGAGAGACGGCTGCTGTCGTGCTGCATTTATCGCTGCAGTATTTCAATTACGCCAACATTCTACGGCACCTGGTGCTTTTTTTTTGCAATTTTCTTGCTCACGTGCCAGAGGTGAAAATCTGTCAGTTGATTTGCATAAAATGTTGCCACACTCCATTGCGCTTTATGTGTGTTTTATATATGTATACAAAGTTGTCTTTTTTTTAGATCACTTCGTCGCTGCACATTTGCCAAATAATTCCAATTCAATTTGCGAATCTCTCTTTTAACTTTCGAGGCAGTTTCGGCTTCCACAAGTTCTCGCCCGAAATAAAGTTAAATCAAATGCTGTCTGTGCACGGCAGCAGCGATCGTGTATGGTGTACAGTGCCCGACAGACGGTTACAGGGTATCTTGGCGAAAATTTGAATAGACACGTAGTCGAACAAGCAGCAGACAGCCAGCCAAATGGAGACATTGCAGCAGAAGGAGTGGCGCTGCCAAAACCGCCGACCTATGGCAACTGCATTACACTGAAAGTTACTAGATGAAATGCCATTTTAGATGATGCTCTCAAAAAATATCCATGTCTATATCTCAGATATCCATATCGGTATGTATAACTGCGTTAGGCTTTTCAACTGAAAGTATAATGTTGCATCACTTTTTTTTCAGTGCATCAATGTCGTTGTGGTGGGGCTCAAGTTGAAGGCAAACTGCTTGCGGCGCTCTTCGCAAAAGCGTTGAAGAAGCGACAAGGAACAGGACTACGAGGAGTCCTCCCTCTAGCGACATTTTCCTGGTCGTGCCAAGTGCAGCGGGATTTCTTGCACCTACGTGTGTGGCCTCGTCTGTCTATTTGTCTTTGTCGCTGCTTTTGCTCAACCACGAGGCGGTCTGTCTGCGAAGGATGCACTGTGCGGAAATGCGGCCTAAAAAACTTTATAAAATCAGATCTAAAAATCTTTTCAAAAGGAAAAAACTCACTCATTTTTTTCGGAAGCTGGTTGCTTTTGAAAATCGCACTTCCAACATCATAATTGCAAACATTTTAGCGAAGTGACACTGCTTTTTTTCAAGTATTCCTGTAGCTATAGTTTTCCACAGCTTCCTTATCCTTTATATCTTATTGCTTTCGTTTTCCATGTGCGACAAAGTAACACACAGACGAAGATGAAGGAAAATCACGTAAACAGATTTTTGTTGTCTCAGCAACCGTTCGGATTTCCTCGACTTTGCAGCACACGTTGCCACACCAGGCATTTTCAATAATTAAACATTTGCGTGCGAAATGGCAGCGCAGTTTCCTTTTGCTGTGGAATCCAGCATCGCACTTCTGCCCATTTCCTTTGAAAGTTTTCACCCAATCGCCTTTGTTGTTGTCGCTCAATCCCCGGAGGGTCGCTGTCTCGCATTCATAATTATAATAATTATAAAAAACAATAATTAAAGCACATAAGTACTGGCGTTGCCGGGTATTTTGGGTGCCGGGCGAGCGGAAAAGGAAAATATTTAATTGAAATTTTAATAGAACCCTAAGCCGGGCACGTAGGCGAAAACGGGCATAACTGCCATTTGCCTTTGTTTGTTTTCCTTCACTTTTCCTTTGTTTTCTATTATATTTTTTTTGTTTTTTTTTTTTGTTCGTTTATATTTTACATGCCGTTTCTTTGGCTTCTCTCCTTTTGGGCCGGTGAGCAGAGTCTGAATTTTTGACAAGTTAATTAGGTTGTTTGTTGGCTCGTTCGTCCTTTTGGCCCTCTCGCTCTTCCTCCGGATTTCCCTACTTTCAAGGTATATTTTAATGTACTTGTGATAAAGTCCTCTTAATTGCTAGCAGACAACACCTTACTTCAGCTCATCCAGGCTTATCTCGACTCGGCTGGCCTTCCCTCTGTCCTTTGGTCAGCAAACACAGACTCACTTGCGCAGGCTGGCACCCACACACGCAGACACCGCACACCCACACACCCACACACCCACACACCCACACACCCACACACCCACACACACACATTGCCTAGGGGCAGGCAGTCATGTTGTCAAAGTGGCAACAAAATTAAGCATACGCCATGTGGCCCCGCCTGAAGCCTTGCAGGAGAAATAGTTTGGGGGAAAAAGGAATATGAGCAATCCGGCAGTGTGGTAAT